AGTTTTAGTTAGTTATAGTTACATGTAGTTAACTAAAAGTAAATCTGGCCTAACTAAAAGGGTTTTAGTTTTAGTTATGGTTAACTAAAACAACACTAGCTGTAAATTTTGCTGACTATTCACAATTTTCTGAAGATTTGCGACGATCAAATTATTACGGTGCAAGATGGCAGACGGCATAAATTTGCAAAAATTAAATCTGCGAAATAGATTTTTGGGTAAATTCGCAAAATTTACAGCCTTTGAAAATTTTGCGCTATACAGTAATTTATGTTTTATTTTTTTAGTTTTGTAATTTTATGATGGATTCTATTGTTGCTAAGGATACAATAGTGAGAGAATTTAAAAAACAAATTATTGAAGAAGCAAGAGAACAAGGAATTGACTGTGTCCTTGAATTAGACAAGTAAGTACATCATGTGACTATCATGTGACTCATTGTGTAGAATGAGATTACGTAACAAGAGGGGAGTGTCCCCTGGTACAGTATATGTTGATCGTGAGTTGATTGATGCTAGTAGGGAATTGTGTGTGGAACCATTAAAAGGTCAGTATATTGTGCTGTATTTTTATGATGCAAGTTTAATGTTAGTACATGTGTATATTAATTATATTGTATCAGGACCAGAGAAGAAGTATGATAGACAAATACAGGTGTATGTTATTAGATGGCGTCCATCACAATGTTCAGTTGATCCAATAGAAGAAATTATACTGGACGAGTATAATCCTAAGCATGTTATTGAAAAGGTATGTGTATTATTTGAAATAATCATAATTGTAATAATAGAGAACATGTATCAGTATCACATTATATTATTCCTTTACAGCTGTCAGAGTTAAGTGGAGTTCCTGCTGAGTATATCTATTGTACAAAGGTTAGTCATTAAAACATATTAAAGCTACTCTCTCTCTCTCTGACTATAGAGTCAATCATTTCCAGTTGAGATATCATGTCTAGATATTGAGAATAAGTTGGACTGGTATTCCATCAGTTCAGAAAGTTACTCATTAGCACTATATGTTGGTGATGGATATGTCATATATTACAAGTACTAATGAACACACACACACATTATGTATACACACACACTTACATACACCTCTTACTGTTTATAATTATTTAGAGACAATAGAGAGAGAATGAAAGAGTTAACAGATAAAGAAAGATCAGAAATACAAGAGGCAGAGGAAGCAAAGTCAGTAAACCTCATGTATCATCATGCACATGTACTATCAGTTAATTAAAAATGTCTCATCACTTATACCATTTATTATATTGTAGGTTGAAGAGGATTAAGGAACACAACTTACAGCATGGACATAAATATTGGAAGTGAAATGGATTTTTTAAATTTCTAAGTGACATGAATTTTTCCTTTTTAATTGCAATCCTGCAAAAAATTACTTGATATAATGTAATCATTTATTTTGTAGATTTTTATTTAGTTTTGTGTAGTTAGTAGTTTTTCAGTGATTTCATTTGTTGATAGTCCCCACAGTGAGTTAGCTATATCCACATGATCACATTTACTAATATCAAATGAAAAGGACTCAATCTCTCCATCATCTCTCCTCATAACTGGCAACCATTTGGAGCTAAGGAATAAGAGAATAATAATAATATTATTTATAATACAATAAGTACATGTACAATACGCTAATGTACTCATACCATAGTTCAATATGTAATACTGTATAGTGTGGATCTACTTTAGTGAGGTATATGGTTTACATGTATTATATGCAACTGTGAAATTAGGGATTTTATTTTGGCTCTGAAATCACTCCAATGTTTTACTGATACATATTGATGTACATGTACATGGTATGTTAACAGGATACATCCTTGTACATTATCAACTGTTGAGGATTCATTGAAATGAACTGGTAGTCTCCTCCTTTGTAGTTTAAACTCATATTAGTAAAATAATAAATAAATTATATAATTAAAGACAAAGTAACTACATGTACATATCCTTGGCCTACACTAATCGCTGGCAAGGCCAAAATGATTAAAATAATTATTTTAAAGTTGCTGTATTACAATTCCACACATTATAAGATATAAAGCTACTAGTGGATCATAATGATGTGTGTGTATACATACACTTACTTGATACACTCTTTGTCTTTATTTCTTTCCATTAAAGTCTTTAATAATTGTTTCTCTTCTCTTAGACTCTCTGTACGCTCTTCAATAGTTTCCTGAGCATTTATAAATAAATAAATAATAATAATAATAACAATAATAATAATAATAATAATATTAACCATGTACTATAGCCCATGGTTTTTCCAAAAAATGGCTCCAAAATCACCCCAAATTTTTATTACATTTTCTGATACATATTGATGCCCTTATGCTGTGTAGAAAGTTTGAGCTGATTCTGAGTTCAATTTTTCGAGTTACAGCCATTTTTTTAAAAAGCCAATTTTTGAAAAATACCCAAGGCTATTATTATTATTATTATTATTATTATATTATTATAGCCCATGGTTCTTTTTTCAAAAAGTGGCTCCGAAGTTAACCCAAATTTTTATTACATTTTTTTTTACATATTGACGTCCTTATGCTATGTAGAAAGTTTGAGCTGATTCCAACTTCAATTTTTTGAGTTATGGCTATTTTAAGAAATGCCAAAATTTTGAAAAATACCCATGGCTATAGCCCATGGTTTTTTTTGAAAAAATGGCTCCAAAATCAACCCAAATTTTTATTACATTTTTGATAAATATTGACGTCTTTATGCTGTGTAGAAAGTTTGAGCCGATTCCAACTTCAATTTTTCAAGTTACGACCATTTTAAGAAATGCAAAAATTTTGAAAAGTACCCAAGGCTATAGTCCATGGTTTTTTCCAAAAAATGGCTCCAAAATCAACCCAAATTTTTATTACATTTTCTGATACACATTGATACCCTTATGCTGTTGGAGAAATTTTGAGCTGATTCCAACTTCAATTTTTCAAGTTACGGCCATTTTAAGAAATGCCAAAATTTTGAAAAATACCAATGGCTATAGTCAATGGTTTTATCCAAAAAATGGCTCTAAAATCACCTCAAATTTTTGTTACATTTTCTGATACATATTGACGTATTTATGCTGTGTAAAAAGTTTGAGCTGATTCAGACTTTAATTTTTGAGTTACGGCCATTTTAAGAAAATGCCAAAATTTTGAAAAATACCCAAGGCTATAGCCCATGGTTTTTTTCAATAAATGGCTCCCAAATCAACCCAAATTTTTATTACATTTCCTGATACATATTGATGCTTTTATGCTGTGTAGAAAGTTTGAGCTGATTATGAACTTAAATTTTTAAGTTACGGCCATTTAAAATTTCAATTTTAGATTTATAGGGACAAGAATGGATATAAAATGCCATTGCTACATACATGTACATGTACACATAAAAATGCTATTGCTACATGTACACTACATACTATGAATGTACTTAATTAAATGTATTTCTTACTCAATTGTTGGAGATTTGCTTGATCCCATGGGACGGCACTTTGACACATTTCATTAATTTCATTTTCAACTTTCATCTTCTCATTCTCAATTTCTATGATATGACATTAGGATGAGTAGTTATATAGAGAGGTGAGTGGAGAGAGAAGGGAAGAGAGAGTTGCTGTCATACAATTATAAAACACAAATAGTTAATTAACTACATCCATAAATTAAAGGATAATAAGATTACCATTTTCCTTTTGTCTCCAGAGTTCCTCAGTTTCTTGTTTCCCAAAATCATAACTCTTGAGTTGATCCCGTACCTAAAAATGAAGAGAAATTGAGAATAAAAATTTAATTAATGCTACATCAGTTCACATAGAAACATAAACTCACTTTTTGGTGTATTGTAGTGTTTTGATACTTTTCAGATTGTATCAATGCTGTAATCAGGCTGGATTCATTGATTTTGTGTGCTGTGTTGTGTACATGCTCTTGCATGCAGTGCAGACCCAGCCCCACCTTTTTATAACATGACCACACCTCTTTTGACCCTTAAAAGTAGATAGAGCAGCAAAACTAACTGTAAGCGAAGGAGAAGGTCGTTGTTGTTCAGTGTTAGTCTTGTTCTGAGGCTCTGGCCTTGAGTCAGCTTCTTTTAATGGAACTATGGCCACTAATCAAACCTGTTTAGGTACACTGAGTTGATGATGTGAAATCAGCCATTTTGATTTTGTTTTGTAGGTGTTGATGATCTTATTGATGTTCTTGATTTGTTAAAGAGATGCGGCTTTCCTAAAGCAAATTGGTATGACCTTGGACTGAGACTAGGACTAAAGAAGAGTACACTGGATGTCATAGAAAAGAATTATCCTCATGATTTATCTCGGTGTATGACAGAGTGCCTCTCCCAATGGTTAGGTAGAGCTGATAATGTTGACAGTAGAGGAGGAGCCAACTTGAACTCACTGTTAGATGCTCTACGATCTATGAATGAAACTGCTGTAGCTGAGAAGTTAAGTGAGTCAACCATAACTGTATATATAATCATTGTATTTTTATTATAGAACATCAGGTTCTTATTAATATTTTCAATAATCGTCATACTGTCCTGTCTCAGTCTCTTTGTGATCCTTTTGCTATATCTCAGTTACTTTATGGTGAACGTATGTTAACACAAGAAGCAGTTAGTAGAGTGGTGTCAGCTAGTCCGTCTATTCCTAATCAACGTGAGGCTCTATTAACTGGTGTCAAAGAAGCTGTTCAAACTGATCCCAACAGTTTACATACATTTGCTAATGTATTGTGTATAATCAATACTAATGTATCACTGGGACAAACTATACTGGATGATATTAGTGAGTAACTGGCCACTATAATTATACTCGTAGTTCATAGTTTTTTGTGGGTGGGTTGCTTATTATTATACATGTGAACTGTCCTAATTAAAACTATTACTGATTCTATTTTCTAACTAATGATTTTGTTATTATGTGTTTAGGTAAATATTTTCCTACTCCTGAAGTGGGTGTGGTTCCTGAGACTATTAAAGATCCACAAGGTAATAATTATTAATTAATTGGTAATACATTTAATATTTCTAGATAATACAAGCACTGCCAATGAAACCAGTACAACACAATCTGGTATGTAATGAACATAGTATCTAGCATCATCATTATTTATTTTTAATTTCATAGACACATGTAGTCCTTCTAATGGAGTAGTTACTAGTAATTCATCTTCACAACCTTTATCACCTCAAGGTATGCAATACACCTTTTACATACTATACTCAAGTAATGATATCTTTTCCTGTAGCTGAAGTACAAGTTCCTGTTTCTAAAGACTTACAGAGGAACTTTACCTCAATGAGAATGTTTTATGGAAGAATGTTTTACAATGTTGGCCGGATTATTAAACAGAAGCACTGTTCATTAAAAAATATAAAGGAACTCCTGTCTTGCTGTAGCCCAGTTCTTAGTGAAAAAGTGAAGAAGTGTCGTAATATCTCTAGTATTTTGTGTCTAATTCAAAATGAGTGTTCACTGACTAATATTGAAGTCCTTCATTGTGTAGTGGAGGAGATAAATATCACTGAGACAGATGAACACATTAAAGCATATAAAGCAGAATTAAAGGAATTCTGCAAATCACTCTCGATCAGTCTTTGTCTGAACGAAAGATTTGCTTTCATTCCTCCTCTTCAATGTCAAACAGTTACTTTTGTCCTTGACTGGGTGCCTGAGGAGCATGTACTCAAAGATATTGAGGACCTTCTTGCAAAAGCATCCGGTAAACTACTGAAGATTGAGTATATAAAACGAACCAATTCAATATGTATCAGTTGCTCCTTTCCTTTCTCTGATGTTGGGTTTACTGTATTGAGGATGATAGAGAATATTCATATACTAATGGGACAAGGATTAAAGAAACTGACTATTGGTAACTTAACATTATGGAGGAGACAAGATTTTAGACTAAAGGTACATAATATGAATAACTGAATATTGTTTTATGAATATTGTATTGTATAGGAACTAAAAGGAATGGATCAAGACTTACTACAACACACTGAGGTCAGTTAATATAATCATTCCTTTATTAGGTACATTACAGTACCTGTACAATGTAACAATTTGTAATGTGTTAATTAAATGTATATGTACAGGTTATTTCTTATATTATACTTGAAGAAACTGAATATAAACTAAGAGATACTATCAGTAGCAAAGAGAAGGTATGTCATACTATATACCAGACTGTGTAATGCAATCTTGTACGTATAGGAAAGAATTGAATTGAAATGAGAAATATCAATGGCTCAATTAACTGAGGTTGGAAGTATTTGCATTGATCATTAAAGTCCGTTTGTGTTCACCTGAGCCCTCGTTTTCTTGGAATAACTT